TGAAGGCAATTAAAAAAAAAAATATATGAAAATTAAATGTGTTAAACTAGCAGCGTGGAATGTGAGAACACTGGCAGAATTATGAACGACAGAACATGTTATAAAAGAAATGGAATATATGAAGATAATCATCCTAGGAAAGATAAGAAAAGATAAGTACACAATAATATATTTAGGAAGAGAAAAACATGAAAAGTGGGTGGGCAAACTTTTTGATAAGGAAACAGCAAAAGAAATTGTGGGTTACTGGAGTAAGTCAGATAAGGTTATCATGGTTAAAATCAAAGGCAAACCAATAACTATAAACACAATACAAGTGTGTGCCCCAACATCAGTTAGCAGCGAAAAGGAAAATAGAAAAGTTTTACAAAGATTTAGATTTAGCAATAGCCCAAAACAAAATCACAAGAAATTAAAATAATATTAGGACATTTTAATGCAAAAGTTTGGAAAGAAAGAACGGAAGATGTTGTTGTGGAATATGGTTTAGGATCAAGAAATGAAAGAGGTGAAACACTGGTAGAGTGGGTGAAAATAAATGATATGATGATTAGAAACACATGTTTTAAACATCTCAAGAGACGACCATCCATACACGTGGAAAAGTCCAGATAAGAAAACATTTAATCAAATTGATTATATACAAGTTAACAACAGGTTTAGAACTGCACTAACAGATGTGAAGACAAGACCTACTGCTGACTGTAACATTGACCATATCCCGTTTTGTGGAAAATTAAATGTACGACTGAAAAGGGGAAAGAAAGAGGTGAAAAACTATAAGCTAAACAAAGATATTCTAAGAGAGGATAAAGTAATTCACGAGCGATATGTGTGTGTTTGTGAGGAACAGGTACAATGCAATACCAAAAATATAAACGATCAATGGGAAATGCTCAGTCTATCCACCAAACAAGCAAAGAGATTTTACAAGAAAGCAGACAAATAGCTAAGCAGAAATGGAAGACCGAAGACATTTTTGAGTTAATGGTGACAGAAAACAAAGTATGTATGACAAAGAAGAACATGATAAGATAAATAAACAAATAAGTATATGAAGGCAAAAGAGGTTTGGCTAAATGAACAATGCAAGAACAGTGAACGCAGTTCTATTAATGATGAAAAAAAAAGCGTGTGCAAACAATTAGCGATCAACTGGAAGAAACATACAAGTAAACACAGGATGTCTGCAATCAAAAGCAGGAGAGATCTTAATGGAGGAAGATGATATAAAAAAAAATAGGTGGAATGAATACACAAGAGAGTTATAATGGAAAGAGAGCAGAATTACCAGAAAAAAGAATGTAGTAGGTCTGCCTATACTAAAAGAAGAAGTTAGCGATGCTATTAAACATATGAAGAAAGGAAAGTCAACTGGGCCAGACGCAATTTTGGTAGAAGAATTAGAAGTACTTTGGGGAATGTGGGGTAAAATTTTTAACTAAACTGATGAATAACATTTATTATTCTGGGTACATAGCAAGTGACATAAGGAAATCTGTATTTGTTATGTTACATAAAAGACCAGGAGGAGATGAATTCGAAGAATTTCGTACATTTAACTCAATAAATCATGTCACCGAATTACTACTTAGAATTATAAGAAGAACAAAACGAAAAATACGAATGGAAATGACTGAAGAGCAGTATGGATTTATGGAAGGTAAATGGACAAGTAATGCAATATGTATATACATATAACGAACACTGATAGAAAGATTAATGGCATACAACATGACTTATATTTGTGCTGTATAGATTATCTCAAAGCATTTGATAAAGTTAAACATGAGAAGATAAATAAAATGTTGGAAGACATCAATGTAGATGTAAAAGATCTCATAATAATTTAAAAAAAAAAATTTGGAACCAAGTTGCAGCAATTAACGTGGAAAACAGATTGGCTAGTTGTGACTAGATAAAGCAAGGAGTAAGACAGGGATGTGTCTTATCCCCAAACCTTTTGCGTTATTGAAAAGATACAGTTTTGATAGCTGCAAATTCAACTGAAAACAACTGCTGGATATTGTGGGGATGGAGAGTGCTAAAAAAGAACTTTCACTGAATATTAATAAAACGGAAATAATGGTTATATCAAAGAAGAAGATAACGCCACATTGTGATATCTCTATTAAAGGAAAAAGACTTAACCAAGTCACTAAATTTAAATATCTGGGAACAATATCATCAGATAGAAAATGTGTGGCATGGATGAAATGCAGAATAGGTCAAGCAAAGGCAGCATTTCAGAAAATGAAAAATATCGTATGCAATAAGCTGCTCTAATTTAATGACAGAAAGAGGGTGCTAAAATGTTACATAGAACTTATTCTGTTGAATGGCAGCGAATCTTGCAATGTCAGTGAACAAATTATGAAGATTTTGGAAGTAACAGAGATGTGGTTTCTGAAACGAATGTTACGAATACCTCGAACGGCAAGAGCAACTAACAACGATTGTTTAAAAGAAGTTAATGAAAGTAGATCTCATGCAACAATAAGAAGAAGGCACACAGTTCTTTGGCCACGTAACGAGAAGAGAGACATTGGAAAACATCGTAACAACTGGAAAGATCAGTGGAAAAGGGGTAGAGGCAGACCAAGAGCGATGATACTTGATGAGCTGAAACGATGACATGGAGGGATATCATCAAGAGAGCTGTTCCAGGCAACCAGAGATCGTGATCTGTGGAGATGCATGAGCGCCTACGCCAACTGGCGGCCACACGATGACCCTTGCTCAGGCAGACAGATAAAGGGTGCTTGTGTAGAAGACTGGGTGGTTATCTGAGGTAGGTAGCATGCTGTAGAGTTCTAAACAAAACACGGAGAAAGAGCGAATCACTAAATATAACGAAGTTGCGACAAATAAAAGTTAGACTCCAAAACCTCCTCACAGATGGTAAGTGCTTGGCAGAACGTCGCTCCCATCACAGGCTGGTGACAGAAGGCTACATCGTTCACTAGTTCTCCTACCTTATACGTATTTATGGCGGAGCGGCTAGACGCTCGCTGTGGTTCGGAAGGTCGTGGGTTCGCTCCCTGAAGGAGCCGGACTTTTTTCAAAAATGACCTTGGCTCCCAGGTCGACCCAGCCTTGAGTGGGTACCGGGTGCAGTGCCGGGAAGTAGAGGCGGCCAGCGTGATGCTGACCACATCACTCATCTTGTGCTAATTGGTCTATAAAAATATAGGTCTAGCCATATATGCCCTATACGCCTAAAGGTGTGGAAAAGGGACCTTTACTTTACTTTTTACTTATACCAGCGACCGTGCCGTATCATATGGTTTCCCCGCCTCGTCTACCAGCGACCGTGCCGTATCACATGGTTCCCTGCCATGTCTACCAGCGACCGTGCCGTACCATATGGCTCCCCGCCTCGTCTACCAGCGACCGTGCCGTATCATATGGTTCCCCCGCCTTGTCTACTAGCGACCGTGCGGTATCATATGGTTCCCCCTCCTTGTCTTTCAGCGACCGTGCCGTATCGTATGGTCCTTTTCTCTAGCTAGCCTTTGATGTGCCCAAAATATTCTAGTTTCAGAGAATGATCATGTCTGTAGGTCCCTTCCTTCTGTGTTCAGGCATTATTCATCTATTGAACCATCCCAGTCTGTTCCATGAACTTTGTTTACTGCATTATTCATCTATTGAACCATCCCAGTCTGTTCCATGAACTTTGTTTACTGTACTTTAGAAAACTGCCGTCCTCTTGTTTAGTATTAGCAAAACGGTCACATGATCAATGCTGATGTGTTGTGACAGGAAAGTTAGTCACATGATCAATGCTGATGTGTTGTGACAGGAAAGTTAGTCACATGATCAATGCTGATGTGTTGTGACAGGAAAGTTAGTCACATGATCAATGCTGATGTGTTGTGACAGGAAAGTTAGTCACATGATCAATGCTGATGTGTTGTGACAGGAAAGTTAGTCACATGATCAATGCTGATGTGTTGTGACAGGAAAGTTGCATGTTGTGGAGCATTATGTTTGTGTTTGCTTTTAAAAGTTGGGCAGCAGTTTTCTATGTTTCTACTTTTTACTGATTTCTTATTTGTATTTGATTGTGTGAGTGTCTTCTAAACGCTTACAAATGACTCAATAAACACGCAGACAGCCTAACAACATTCAAACCCATCAAACCTCAACCAGCCAACCAGGGACCAAGACCAACCATAACAAATTATTCAACTCACAATCCACCTACTTACCAACTAACCCGCCAACTAGTATTTAACATTACAGTCACTTAATCTACTAACCACCGGCCAGCTCATGAAACTTACGACCAACAACTGAAACAAAAACTCCCATCCAGCTGACTAAACACCAGAGAACACACAAATACCTCAGCCATTGACATAACTGCTGCTTCCGGAAAGGTAGCAGAACAAGCGACCACAAATGCGGTAATCTTTTCTGACTCTATGACCATGCTTCAGAAAATCGCTACAGGGAGTCTACGCTCCGAATAAGCAGAAAGCATTCGAAAGTCGCAGTTAACCTCCATCATCTGGATCTACACACCTTGACACGCAGGAGTACATGGTAATAAAAGAGCTGAACAGTTGGCAAGTAATGAACCAATGCAAACGGAAAGAAGCATAGACAGAACTGATATCATAAGCTCTGTATGGACTAGGCTGATGGATAATGACGAATCTCTGACGCTAAAACGACTGCATGACCGAGGAGTTAAGCTTTGGTGAAGCACGTCTCTGCAGTCTTAGAGGTAAAGACAAAAGATACTATAACAAACTCCTCATGGGAAGAATCAGTAGAGGTACTTTGGAGTGAGCATGCGTTGGGGTGCGCAATGTGCAAAGACACCAATTGTGATAACATAACATAACCTCAACCAGCCAGCCAACTCAATCCGTCTTTCCAACTAGTTCACCGAGTTCTGTAGCACAAGAACTGTCGATCCAGCTGTGACATGCTCCAATAGAAAGAGAGGCAAAGAAAGACACATCAAGGATCAAACCACAGCAACTTACCTGTCTATAGCAATGGCCATGAACGTCAGCACGCTCACCGAGATGGTGCAGGAGGCGGTAAAGAAGGCAAACTTGCAGTACTCCAAGCCGAAGAACCAGTCCTGGTACAAGTTGAGAACAAAGTGGAAGAGGACATTGAAGAAGGACACCATGACGTCAGCGATGGCCAGGTTGACCAGGAAGTAGTTGGTGACCGTCCTCATTCTCTTGTGTGCCAGCACTATCCAGACGACGATAATGTTGCCGCCCGCCGCCACCACGAAGATGAAGACAAACATTGTGTAGAAGATGGCCTGTTGCCACCAGGGCAGGAAATAGTGCTGGGTACTTTCCGTGGTCGTGGTGGCGTGTGTGCTGTCGATGTTGTCTGTTGTCCAGTTGTAGTTCACTTCATCCATCTTGCTGAAATCTAAAGAGTATCTAGTTGGCCAGGCGTCCACGTTCACTTCCATCTTTTAACACAGCAATGATGTTATTGAGCTTCAGGGGCTGTAATTCGGCCTGCTCAAACGCGATGTTGGTTACTGGATTGTTTTATTTAGTTATGCCATTATTTTTTATTTTATTTCTCTACACTGACGAAGGTTAACTAACCGCAACATTCATTCTTATACCCCTGATTGTGCACTTGTAAAACTGACCAGTTCTACTTTTAGGTTTTGAGGAATTACCTCCGTTCTGTTGTCTAGCATGTCCTTTATTAGCTAATACTTTGAGCGGTTTATATAACACTTGAGACTAGACCACATCAACACCCGTGTGTGTTATCATATATTTCCGTCGGTGCCTGCAGCTCACGCTAAAGAAACATTTCTCGTCAACATCCTCATCTGGAAGTATCTATCAGATACCATGTCATTTCACAGTATAACAAACACACATAAAATCCAAGGCTAAAGAATCACAGACAACAAACACATCCACACTTTGTCGTGGTAAAAGCTTTGGAGAAGTGTGTACATGAATATAGTGTCATTTATGTGTTCTGACCATCTGTGTTTCAAATGCGCTTCTCGATCAGTCGCTAACATCCTGAACGATGCTTAACTGGCAAACTGAGTCCTTCCAGACAGTTCTATGCCCTGTACAAGACTGGTGACCTCGATGAAAGAGCAGTCTTCTGTGCTCGCTGTCAAACAGGTCACCTTTCGGTTAACTCGGAATAGGTGATCTTTGCTGGAACACCTTCTAGAAGTGGATGTTTCTCATGAATGGTCGAGGTACAGCATTGTTGCACACATAGAGACGTGTCTCTAAATATGTTTACCTAAAGCAGCTTTGAGTCTAAGCGTGTAGGCAGTCGATGGATGCGGATATATCCACGCTGGGAAACTGTCTTCTCTTACTGGATGTATCCAGTGGCTGCATGAAAGCTGTCTTCTGAGACTTGGCAGTGACAGCTCACACCTGGAAAAAATAGGACAGCAAATCATCTTTAAGTTGTAGAATGACTCAGAGCTTTAGACCAGATGTTGTTTGCTTGGCCATTAAAAAATAAAAAAAAATCTGCGGAGAAAAAGGGGGGGGGGGGAAGAGAGGAGGGGGGGGAGTAGGTGGGTTGCGAGTAAGCGTGTTTGTGTGTGTGCGCGCGCTATATTTGAAGTTCATTTTTGTGTTTACATTTGTGTCGTTCATCCCTGGGAATTGACGCCGCAACTACAGAGTTTTGTGATCTGCTCTGCACTCTCACTTGGCCATTAACAGGGGAGAGGTGAATTCGCAAGGACACATTTGGGTGCATCAAAGTAAATAAAGCATATATATATTTAAAACAATTTCAAGTGTATTTACATAATAAGCTCGTTTCCAGTCAATAGTTTAAAAAGTGCCAAATATGGAGAAACAAATAATGATTTAGCACTTAGATTGAACACTAGCAATACCCGACACGCGTTGCTGTGGCGCAGTCTAACGAAAACGAAAAAAAAAAAAGAAAATAGAAAACACACGTCTCTAATATGGTTAACATCACAATCATTGTCTGTGCAGACGTAGAGATTGTCTTGATTGCCGACTATAGAACACGCATCATATAAGGTTGTCTTTATATGTGTAAGTAAGGTTAAGGTCTCTTTTCTACACCTTTAGGCGTATAGGGCATATAGGGCTAGACCTAAATATTTATTATTTTTTATAGTTTATTTTTTTTATATTAGTGATCGGTTAAATTGCACTATAATAGCTTTTTAAAAAAAAAATTAGTTATTTGTTTATTACATGCTAAAGATTTTTTGTTTAAGCAGCCGAAGTACTTCTAAAAATCCAACAAATTCAGGGGACAAAAATGATAATAGCCGAGGTAGCGTTATATAAATAATTGAAAAATGAAAACTTTAAAATCATGTTTTAAACGTTCTCACTTAACAGATTGTCATCACCTCACCTGGGGTCGAACCGCGGCCTCCAGCATGACAGCCCGACGTTGTATCCACTCGGCCTACCAAAACAACTACAACTACTATTCTGCGACTACTACCAATGAAGCTACTATGAGCAGATTAATCTTGCGGTTAAGACTAATCTTTCATTCCCATTTTTTTTTCCATTCCCAACAGTCTTTCAACAACTCACCATCCTCATAACGACAGCTTCATGCAGATTTCAGAGTTCAACAGTCAAATTTACCATACAAACTAAGGCTGACAGGATACAATGAAAAAAAAATGGATGCCTGAAAACAAAACCAAGATGCATATGTGATCGTCGCTGGTGCTATGTAAATACTCCTTTAAAAAATCGGCACGCGTATTCGAATGCAAGGTTGTGTCAATTTTTCATAGCAATTGGTGAAGAACTTTCAGAGTTTAGCTATAACTAGCAAACGAACATTTACCTTTTTATTTAAATAGATTGGCAGAAAACGAAAAAGCGTCTCTAGAGATGAATAAAAAAAACTTGCATGTTTATTGTGTGCGGAGATATTGATGACTCCTGTGCTGTAAGGTGATATTTTTTGATGTTGCTGATACATTATTTATTGACATTATAGCAAAAACATCGCCCTGTTGGCGAGAAGCCGGTGTGCGGTGGTCAGAGGTGCGATAAAAGTGCGGTGATTTGCATCTATTTGCAAGATTGAGTATTTTCTTTCAAAGCTCGCGGAGGAAGGGGCGACACAGGGCAAGTGCTTGATGGCAACTGACGTTTATCATCAAGTTAATGGTGGTGTTGTTGTTTTCAGTGTGGTAATTGTACTGACGACGTTAACATAATTAACTGTCACTGTCACTACCACTGTCATGGTCACTAACACTGTCACTGTCACTACCATTGTCACTGTCACTACCACTGTCACTGTCACTACCATTGTCACGGTCACCACCACTGTCACTGTCACTACCACTGTCACTACCACTGTCACTGTCACTACCACTGTCACTACCAGTGTCACTACCACTGTCACTACCACTGTCACTACCACTGTCACTACCACTGTCACTACCACTGTCACTACTACTGTCACTGTCACTACCACTGTCACTGTCACTACCACTGTCACTACCACTGTCACTACCACTGTCACTACCACTGTCACTACCACTGTCACTGCCACTGTCACTGCCACTGTCACTGTCACTACCACTGTCACTACCACTGTCACTGTCACTACCGCTGTCACTACCACTTCCACTACCACTGTCACTGTCACTACCACTGTCACTACCACTGTCACTGTCACTACCGCTGTCACTACCACTGTCACTACCACTGTCACTAACACTGTCCCTACCACTGTCACTACCACTGACACTGTCCCTACCACTGTCACTACCACTGACACTGTCACTACCACTGTCACTACCACTGACACTGTCACTACCACTTCCACTACCACGTTCACTACCACTTCCACTACCACTGTCACTGTCACTACCACTGTCACTGTCACTACCACTGTCACTGTCACTACCACTGTCACCACTGTCCGTATTTTTAGGACGTGTAGACAGGATGTCGTGAGCCAGATAATCGTGCTGTCGCCACGGACTGTTCAGGTTAGGATGTTTTAATTGTGTCCCCAACAACTACATCATTTCACCGACTGTCAAACCCGTGTCTCCCGCACGACAGCCCGACGTTCTAACCGCTCGGCCAGCCGCTCCATAATGAACACAGTGATCCAAATAAGCATCATCACATTCACAGTTGTTGGTGTCGTCGTCACAGACATCATCACCACCGCTAGCGCAGCTACCATCGCTAGCGCAACTACCACCGCTAGCGCAACTACCACCGCTAGCGCTACTACCACCGCTAGCGCAACTACCACCGCTAGCGTAACTACCACCGCTAGCTCAACTACCACCGCTAGCTCAACTACAACCGCTAGCTCAACTACCACCGCTAGCTCAACTACCACCGCTAGCGCAACTACCACCGTCTTTATGACAGTCACAGTTGTTGGTATTATTGTCATTATCTCATCTTTGAAGTCGTCATTTTAATTATCATGAATGTTATCATCGCTAATGATGGTGGTTGTAGTAGCAGTGCTGGTGATGGCTGTGGTCGAAACCTTAGTGGTGGCAGAAGAGAAACAATAATTGTAGTAGTAACAGAACCAGTGGGAGTTGTGGTGGCGGTCGTGATAATAATAGTCGACATAACTACTAGTGAACGTTGTAGTTGTGGTAATAACTATAATATTGTTATAACACAAACAACCTTAACTATTACTACTAATACTACTACTACTACTACTAATATAACTACTAGTACTACAAATACTACAACAACTACAACAACTACAACAACAACAACAACAACAACAACAAAAACAACAACAAGTGGTACTACTACTACTACCACTACTACTACTAGTACAACAACAACAACCACTACCACTATTGCTACTACTGCTACTAATATTGCTGCTACTATTACTACTGCTTGCTGTTACTGCTGTTGTGCTAGAAACAGTAGTAGTATTTACTGCTGTTGTTTTGTTGTAGAATGAGTGGGCGCCTAATCTTTGCACATTATCTTTCTGTGGATTCACAACAGGTCACTATTTCTTACCCTCTATGGTAGTTCAGCATGAAGTCATCTCAAATGGAACAAACTGTACAAACTCCTTACCGAAACGCCACCAGACATCACAGACGAAACTATAGCTTTGCTTCAAAAGCTGCTACTCGTGTTCGACACTTTTCATAGACACGCTTGAGTGCAACCAAAGCATGGTAAAGCATGTTAATGTAATGATTGACACTAGTCTGTCTTTTTCCCGCTCTTCTGTCGTTATTAAAACATAGAACATTTGCAATTGATCTCCACTGTTGCTGGCCTGATGCTTTTCTGCCCAAGGTACCCATGCCATTTTGGATAACTTTATTTTCCGTTTTAATGTCCTTGTTGTTCTATACGTCATTCACTTCTCAATTTGTCATCTACTATCATTCAGAGAGCTGGCTTTTCCAAAGTGTCACCAGTCATTCTGCAGACATGGCCA